TTAGGGGTTTAGGGTTTAGGGGTCTTGGGTTTAGGGGTTTAGGGTTTAGGGGTTTAGGGTTTAGGGTTGAGGGCTTAGGGTTGAGGGCTTAGGGGTTTAGGGTCTCGGTCCTCTTCTCCGAGGAAGTTCAACTCAGTCGCGGATGCATTGTCCATCTCGCCTCGAGACCGCTATGAAATAAGGCTTCAGGGTTTAGGGGCTAGGGTTTAGGGTGTGGGGTTCAGGGTTCAGGGTTTAGGGTTTAGGGTTTAGGCAGATATAGGGGAGTCACGAGGTCTTATTGCTAGCACAACTGCTGTCTTGCTGCACAGCCGCTGTGCCAAGATAAACTCGAGCGTCCGAATTACAAGCTAGTTACATCACAGCATTGCAGGAACGGGCCTGTTAGGAGCCCGACAAGCACCCGAACAGACGCTCAAAAACACATGATTTGCTCTTTCATCTGTGTATACACCACCCCAGCTCATCGGCTTTGACCTTACCGCAGGGGGGTGGGGGGGTCTGGGCTTCAACAACAGCCAGTGCTTACGCAGGTGCTTGGTTGCTGATGGGGCCTAAGGCCCTTCGGTCCCAAGCCCACTTAGCCGTGGACTCTCGTTCACGGACAGGTTCATGTCCGTCGGGCACCAACCTGGTCCAAAGGGATCTGATGAGGATGACAGCAAGAACGGAACAACAACTACTAATTGGGACTGAAGGCTTAGGGTGATGTTCAGCCACATTGGCAGCTTCCGCACACCAGTTGATCGTGTCATGTTAAAAAAGAGTACGGGTTATAAACTGTACTCATTTAAGGAACGATTACGGTGAAACTCACGTGTACAATCCCAGCCGGAAAGGTCGCTAAAGCGCGCAAGCTGGCCACACTACAATAGTGATATGGACTGAAGCAACCATTCACAATGATAAACCCTAAACACTCTTGTTCACAATTACCAAAGAAATACTTGTGGTAGAATTGGTATATACATGGGTTAACCCTTACTAGCAATGCACTACTCTGGTGGTAGCTCTGGCAAGGCTGACTGTGTGCTAATGACGGAGCTAATCACCCTTATTACTCGACGGGGAAGAAACTGAATAAACGAAAGTTGCAGGACCGTGCGCCAAAAAAAAAAGTAAACCAGTGCACTGCGGGTGCTAAGGTTTGACTAAGTGCAGTCGGGAGCGGGGAGTTGCATGGCCTTACAATACCTAGACCCACACCGTTAACTCTCTCCTAAAACCCTAAACCCTAAA